GCAAGAACAGGCTGAAAGCCTTTTCAGTGATTGAAAAGCCGTACACCCAGCAGCAAGGGACAGTGATTGCGACACACAGAATTTTTTCTTCCCAGTAGGAGTTGGATCAACGGTTTTCATGTGAGGGCAAATTTGCACAACAGTGAAGTGCAAGGTCAAGCAGCCGTGAGCGGGGATCTAAGCACTGTGATTGATTTTCTTTAAATGTTGAGGAAAATGATTGAGTAGGGAGTTTCTTTGCCAGACCAAATACTTAATGTGGAGGAGTCTGCTTTATTTATTTATTGGGTGGTGGTGGGAGGGAGAAGTCTGAAAAAGGAAACCTACATTTCAAAAGAGAGGAAAGAAAAAGGATAGTGTGTTATTCTGGGGAAAGTAGGGAAACAACTCCACAGAAACTCATGCATAGAAGAGAGAGTTTTATATAGAGGGTAAGTGCACATTAAGAAAGCATCCCAACCCAGTGCTGCCCAAGCCCTAAGTACAACATTAGCCTATATGTCCGACAACCATCTACACAGTCCTCTCCATCTCACGAAACACACACAATGACACTGACTGCAGGAGGAAAGCTGAATCCGTGAGCTTGTAAGCATCTCAGGGCTGGCAGGGGTCTCCACACGGCTGCTCCAGCACCCAGGGCTGCATCAGGGTAGGTCCGTGTGGCTTCTCCTCAGACATGTCTTGCAGGAAGTGAGCCTTGCCAGCTGAAGCAGGGCACTGGCTAAGGCAGCTACACCCTGGTCTGACCATCAAAAAGCAAGAGACCCAAGAACTAGAAAGGCGAGTCTCACTGAGCCATTTATCCCTCCATCCTTCAATTAATCCTACATGTGTTTATTGGCCAGGTTGGTACAATAAACCTTAACTATCTCCGATAGGCTAATCTTACCCCGTGGGAATCAGCTTCAATCACTTCATCTGCATTCAATAGCTGGAGAATGGAGAAGAGCTTCCTTGAAGGACTGCTGTGTTTGAATCATGGCCCTGGGGAATGTTATTGGAGAGACCGTGGACTACCCGAGGAGTGAACAAGTCTACTGTGGGGGGACGTCCAGCCAGAACGGTCCTTAGAAGTGAATATGGCAAGACATACTTTGGATATGCTATCAGTTGGGACCAGTCCCCACAGAAGGACATCATGCTTGGTAAAGGGTCCGGGGAAAAAAGAGGAAGCTATTCAATGGAATATTGTACAAAGGGACTCTATGAGTTGGAACCCAATCGGCAACATCTTACAACAAGCAACACATGCATCTGGGGGGGGGGTCCATCCTTTTTTATGTATCGCTTGCCAAATCTGAGAGCACACTGTAATATCGTGAAGGAAGGTCTTCCCATTGTTTGAAGGCAAAGGCAGATAGTTGGGTTCCACTTGCCATCTTTGAAGATTGGTTCTTGAACCATTTTGCCTCCGTCGAACACTATTGCTTGGCTAAGAAAATACCTTTCAACATTCCCCTTGTGGTTGAGAACAATCCTGGACATGCAAACATGTTAGTTGGCATTATGTAAAGGTTGTTTTTACCCTGTAAGATCACAGCACAAGTGAATGGATCTTGACACCACTACCTCCTTTAAGGTCTGTTATTTAGGACAGACCTGCTCACAAGCAGTCAGAGCTACCCAAGAAGATGTGAGGAGTTTAAGGAAGTGCTGGCTGGATTATATGTGATGCTGCGGTGAAGTAAAATATCTTAATAGGACTCTTCTATCTATGTCTCTGTAACTCCCACCCAATCAATGGGTGGGTCTGTGCAAATGGGGTGTGGGAAACACTGAAAGAGAGGCCTGGTCGGTTTGGTTGCCATCCCTCTGACTACAGGAGAGCTATCTCAGAAGAAAAGGAACAGAGAGAAAAGAGAACTGGGGGGCCATCAAAGAAGAGCCACTAGGGGACCATGTTCAGGAACCCTGCCTAAAGTGGAGAGGACTGAGACCAGAAGCCGTGCCCCACTGAGACGGAGGTGGAGGCAAGGAGACAGTGGGACAGAACAGAGGAACAGTATGGAGACTCTGAGAGATGGTGAGGCAGAGCAGCAGGTGGGCTTCCTGGCCCAAAGAGGACAGGGCCCCACGTGGCTGAGAGGCTGCATGCTAGAGAGACTTGGGTGAAGATTGAGGACAGGTGTTGCTGTGGACAGGTGACTGTATCCTTAACATTTTCAGATCTTGGCTTGTAGTAACCTGTTCAACTTTCCTAATAAACCCCCTTCAACATGAGTATTATTTGTGAGTTCTATGTGGCCACTGCAATGGATTATCGAACCCAGCAGAAAATCCAGAGGGCCATGGGAGGCATGGTCGGTGGCTACCTAGGTAAAGAAAGATGGAGGGTGGAGGCATGTCTGACCTCTGCTTTGTGGCAATAGGCCTTGGGGCTGGTGAGGAGCTGGGTTCTCCTTCTCCCTTGGATGGCGAGAGGGGGTCAGATGTGGCTACCATACCATTTACTCAGATGGCATCGAAACCCCCGCC